GGAGGAGGAGGAGGAGGAGGAGGAGGAGGAGGAGGGAGGAAGAGGAGAGACAGGGATGGAAAAGAGGAGGAAGAGGAGGAGGAGGAAGGAGGTACAAAAAGGGGCTCCGCCGTCACTCCGTCTGTCACACACAGACCACACACACAAGCCAGAGGAACCACAATCAATTTCACCTCATGAGGAAGACTCCCAACAAGCCTTCATCATATTTTTATAATTTTTATTTTAAATCAGAATCTTCACAGAATCAAACATCACCTGTAGGATTTTTATCTGAGGAGCTGAAAGGTTTTTATCTTTCATCTGAAAACTGAAAACAACTGGAGACAATGAGGAGCTTCTGCAGAGGTAAGAACATGATTTTAATAAAGTTTGTCATAGTTTATTTATGTGTTAAATATTAAAACAAAATAAATAATTTTAATTTTCCAATTTAAAGCACTTTTTTATTTTTTTAGAAAGAGCTGAAATGTAAAGAACACTTTACAGTTAAACTTTATATGTTCAGAACTGAACAGAATAATTTTAAAGTTTTAAGTTTTTTATTTAAACTATTTATTTTCCAGAGATTAAATAACAAAAAGCTATTTTTACTTTAATTTCATGCAGGGTCTTTAATCTACGCTGAGCTGAAAATCGTTATAATCATATTTTCACTTTTTATTATGAAGGTTTAGAGAGTGTGTTTTTTAGTGATTATGATTGCAGCAGGTGATTTTTTTTTCAACACTCATTGAATAGTAACTGATAATATAAAATTGTCACCACTATCTTAAAAAAAACTGTCCCTCGTCAAATAAAAGAAMTATCGGGGAGAAAATCTGCTGCAAACCAGAAACCTTCAGAACACCAGAATCAACGTCCACTTTGTCAAACCGAGGCTTTCAAGCCTTAAACACACCACCAGCTGTCGAGCATGTTGGTGGTACTATCATGCTTGTGATAAAAAAAAAAATCAACCCACTCTGAAAACAGAATGATTCAAATAAATCGTTTAAAGACGCTAAATGAAAGATAGAAACCCCTGACTGACACAAAGTGTCTTTAAAGTCATTTTAGTCAGAAAAAAAGTCAATAAAATACAAATTTTAGTGAAATTTATAGGATAAACAAAGGTCAGGACTAATAAAGTGTGTGAGGCGAGGTCTGCAGGGGTCAGACGCCCCCCTGTCTCGTTATCCGTCACTGATATGTGAAAGTACATGATTCACTTTAGTCAGGGTCTCACACACACACACACACACACACACACACACACACACACACA